CTGAGAGTAAGAGTAGTTTGTAATGAGAGCATGTCTCGACTCATCAGAAGAATCACCACAAAACCAGCTTTCCCTGGTTCGTCCATTGTCTCAGGCAGGTTCCCCCAAGCTCCTGGCTCTAGTCATACTGTAGGTCTTCTTTCAGTTCCATCAACAGTCTTGGCACTTTTTTACTTTGGAATGTTTGCTGTTTCCCTGTCTGGAGACTTTTCTCCCTGTTCTCTGTCTGGCTGACGCCTTCTCCTCCATTAGTTCTCACCTAACATGGTATCTCCTCCAGAGAGAGGGCCTTTTGACCAACCTACATAATTAGGTCTTCACTCAGCCCAGATTCTTCCTCTTCTTATTATTTTTATGATACCCTATTTGTATCCTTTATAACACATGAGAAATTGAGTACTTTCTTGTTTACTTGTATATTACGATAAAGGCCACATCTTTTTCTATATATATATATCACCAGGATCTAAACAATGCCTGTTGAATTCTAGATAGTATACAATAAAGACTGGTTTGTTGAATAAATAAATTAATTAAAAATATTTTTATAAAACAAATTCAAAATTACTTGAAGTCCCCAGTAAACCCTTAACAAGTTTTGAGAAACACAATTCTACTTTATAAAATGCCTACAGTAAGAACAAATTTCAAATACTGGTTTAGTAAAGATTTTCAGATTACTTCTTTGCAGATTTTTGATAGTCACCATTTACTTCAGAAGTAAAACTTAAGGGTTTTTCAATGTTGCTCTATGTCAAAAAAGTCTATACCTGATTAATCACTAATACCTAAATATTAACAATAATAAACATCCAGTTGGCTGTAATCTAATGATAAAAAAAGAATGACATGTAGTTACATAGCTCAGATACAAAGAAAAATATTTGAGGGGGGGACATTAACAGAGGAAAAAAAAAAAAAGATTCTCAAAGAATGGCAGGTTTCAGAGAAATGCTCCAGCTTTTTAGGGAATAAAAAAAGGATGAAGAAAACAGAAGTAGCATTCTTTCTACAAGAGAAAATCCGATTAAAAACTAATACTGGAAAATCTGAACAGAACCTCTGATGTGTGGAACATCATGAAAAGTAAATAAATGGATGCTGTGCATCCTCCTCAAAGAGTTAATATATGTGGTTTTAAGTTCTTTACTACTCAGAGGGGAAAAAATTACAGTACCATTACTGTGATACACATTTTCCAGCACTGTCACTTGACTGGTAGTAGGCTTGGATCCATTCACCATTTTTCAATTTGATACATTTTACCAAAGCCATTTGATATTTTTAAAAAGTAACACCTACAGTGGGGTTTTTTGGAATTAGAAGAGTAAAAATCTATTACCTGCATAAAATCTGAAAACTGAATATTTAGACTTTTTATAACTTAAAAAGGCAAAATTTAATATAACTCCAAATAAAAGCCAAAACAGAATTGGCCAAGCATAAGAACATTGTACACTATATTTTTTATAGTGTGTTTCTGTGTACAAGAATGACTATGAAATTAAATTGTCTTATTTCTAGCAATTTTCTTCCATAAACAATAGCAGTCACTGCTAAAAGGGTTGCTTGCAAACTTACTAGAAATATTTTTTGGAGAATATTCTAGTCTTCAAAACAAACAGTGGCTGTCAAATTCTTACTACATAATCTAAAATGTTAATCCATGTACTGTATTTCATTTGTAATAAGTCTTTGTGATAAGGTTAACACTTCAACACACAACACAAATAAGAGAACACCGAAAAATGAAAATTACTTTGCTTATGTTTCCGTATTAGAATTTTATTTGCTAAAGGGTAAAAACAGATTTGCAAAATTCACAGTTAACTTAAAACAATAGTTTTAAACCTTTTATTCCTAGCCCTTACTGCCTTCAGGAAGGAGAGAACATCTGGTTATTTAAGGAACACAATATGTTCACATTTTCTATGACTTTTGTTTCTAATTGGGTTTTTAAATTTTTTTTTTTTTGAATTTGAACAACTAGTTAGAACAATGTTTTTTAATCACTTCATATTTTTCCGACTGTCCTCCTTCTATCCCTCCACTTCATTTAGTGAATTGTTTTTGGAAATCTGCTCAGTGGTTCTAATATGATAAAGACAAGAAAATGAGAATTAGGAACATGGTCTGAGGAACTAAGTATAGAAACCGTATTTATGGTGAACAGAGTATAGGATGCTACAAACAGATATCTGACATTTGGTCTCTTTATATAGCATACATTTAAGAAAATTTCAAATAGTTCTAGGTCCACTTCACTTATATACATGGCAGTTTTATTTATTACAGATGCAAATTAAATGTCTATTACAAATTGAATAATTTTTATGACAGATACTAGTAAATAGGATTCTACTATTTTTTTTTTTTTAAAGATTTTATTTATTTATTTGACAGAGAGAGATATAGCGAGAGCAGGAACACAAGCAGGGGGAGTGGAAGAGGGAGAAGCAGGCTTCCTGCCGAGCAGGGAGCCTGATGTGGGACTCGATCCCAGGACCCTGGGATCATGACCTGAGCCGAAGGCAGACGCTTAACGACTGAGCCACCCAGGCGCCCCCCAGGATTCTACTATTTTTAAAACTATAGTTCCTGTGTGGAAAGGTAGTTGGAAGACTTGGGTTCAATTGCTGGCTCTACCACTGACAAGCTGTATTAAATAAGGCTCTAACCTTGATCCTTAGTTTGTTCATCTACAGAAGCAGAAGCTGGATTAGATCTCTAGGTTCCTTGCAGTTCTGAAATTCTGAAAGTCACAGCGAGGTATATTAACTAGATTCTTCGTTATGTCTTTTTTGTTCCATAATACTTCAAGGTGGTAACAGGTTTTCAAACAATTCTGACACACAGTAAATTAAGGAACTAGATGCCCTTTAAGTTCAAGTTATAGAGTTCATTAACCATCCTGATAAAAATGGCAGCTGACAAATATACAATTGGCAATGGCTTCCATGGAATGTAGGTATGGGTTCCAGAAATACGTGAGGTGAGTGAGATCCACCTAGATTAGAGTCAGTGTGGTGTACTGGAAGAGGCTTAGCAACTGTGTCAGAATTCAATTCTACCATTATTTTCTTAATACCAACTACTGCAGAACACAAAGCTAAATGCTAATAAATGAGCAGGATCATACAGAATAATTGATGCAATAAATAAGCAAATAGCTAAAATACAAAGTTCTTATGGGGACTCAAAGGGGGAAAACATGTCCTATCTAAGCCTGGGAATGGCTTCCTGAAGGAAGTAGAAGGTATGCTGGGAATCTTAGGAGGGGATGGATACATATAAGGGTCATGGAGCCATTCTAGCTAGCTTGGAACCTTACAAGTTTTTGGCCTAGGGAATGCCACATAACCTTAATCTGTCTACATTGAAAAAGAATGAAGAAAGATACCCTGCTTTGCCTACCTCATAGCTTGTAAGGACCAAATTAAGCACATCTAAGTGCTTAGAAACTATGAAGGAGGACTATCCTATTATTACATTTTACAGCCCCATTATTTCAGTCTGTTCAAATGAGAAATCTTTTCGCAGTAAAGCCTACATCTGATATAAAACAATTAAAGCCCAGTGTCTCATGCTCTAGTTGCAGAGTCTATTCTCAACTGAGCAATCTCCACTGGGATTTATGGAAAGCGGTAGGACAAAGTGCTTTTCTGAAGCTGGCAATGAACTTGGAGGGCTCAGAGTTCCTTGTTTATTTTTATTTTATTGAGTCTGTCAGCAGCACTCAACACTACTGTCACAAGGTACTGGGCTATGTGAAAATGTACTTTCATGCCTCAAATCTCATCCTTCTACTAGTTCGCTTCACAGAGACTCGTGTGTTTATATACTTACTCTGATCTACTTGAATTGGGAATGATTCAAGTATTTTAAGTGTTTCATTGTTAATAATAAATAGAAAAAAATTAAGCACTCTGATGTTTGGATTTTTGGAGAATACGGGCGGGGTACTAGCATCATCTTCCTTGCCCTTTTTTTCTTCCTCCTTAGTATAAATGGCCTCCTATATGAATTTATAATGACACTACTACACTGAAAACTCTGTCCATGTGTGGATTTCTATGTCATATATAAACTTGCTCTGTGTGTGTATGTGTGTGTGTGTGTGTTCCATTTGTACCTTTGTAGCACTGGACTGGATCTTATTAGATCATTGTAAGTCAGCTTTTTGTGGACAAAGGAGCTCTGGTTGGGCGGGTCATTAGAGACAATTTAATTCAACCCCAAAAGAGAAGACCAAGATTCAGCAAGCATGAGTTTCCCCAAATCACAAGGATGGTTATTAGCAGAGTCAAGATTTGACCCAGTGTCCTGATTTCTAATTCAGTCTCCTTGTTCTTTAACTAAACCTATCACCTTGCTGGGTTAGCTATGTGAAAGCCCCTTAAACTATACAGCTTTCTTTATTTTTCCTATATATCCTATAGATATCATCATTCTATAAACTTGTTCTCAACAACCTTTTAAACGTGATTCTCTCCTCATCATCAATTTCTTCTGTCTCAGAAATATCACCTTAAGGTCCTGTATTTTGGACCATTATCTTGATCATGTTTTTACTTAGTTAGATCCTAAATGTAAAAGTGGGGAATACTGTTTTTTTAGAGATACTTATGCTATTTTTTTTCTCTTAATCCTTAGAGAATATATTTTTTAATGCTTATAGAATTGGCTTCATTATACTTAATATTATGTACACTACCTTATTGAGATAAAAAGTACTCTATTAAATTAGATTTTACTAATAACACTGATTGATTTGTTATATAGAATCCTACATCTAGAAGAGTGGATGATTCATAGCAGGATCAACCATATTTAGCCAGGGAGAAATTACCAAGATCGATAGGTTTAGATAACATATTCACTTCTCCCTTCAGTAAACCAAATAAATCATATAGGTAGAGAATTCAAATAGTTATTTTAACAGTTTTTTCCACACTCTGTATGATTCTAAGAATTCCTAATGCTGAGCTGATAGAGCTTACCTTAAGTTCACAGACCAAAACTCATATACCTCATTGACGAGTAACTGCATTCTTTTTTCCTTTTATAGATATTGTGGTTATTTTTATAAAACAAAATACATAAAAATATGGGATTTTTTATCTTATAATCAGACTCCTAAGCCTTATCAGGAAAAAAAATATGCTATCTTAGGTATCAGAGAAATGATGGATTATATTTCTGATACTTAATGAAATATTATGTAGGAGAAATGATATAAAATTGTGTATTTTTGTACAAAATGGGTATAGGCACAAGGAAATAAAATCTTTTAAATCAAAGAATAAATAGAGGTCATACTCAAATGTTGAAGTCAACAGCCGAGAGAAAAGCAGAAATCCTTTAGAATTAAAATTTACATTAAACTTGGAGTCCCAAGTCGATCAGACAGAGCTTGGCAATGGATCCACAGACAGACTGACTCAAAGACAGTTCGACAACTGCCAACATGACTGTTGGGAATTCTGCCAAGGAGCCAAAGGCTGGGATTACCACCCAATGCCTGGCATTCTCATACTTGTGTTTGAAGCTCTCTCTCTTATACTTCATCCAATATTTTTGTTTGGCTCAAAAGCATCAAGGATTCACAGATTTTTTTAGATCATTAAATGTTCTTATTTTCAAGAAATATAACATTAGTTGTAAAAGAGCACACTTTTTCTCTGAAGTGTAAAGAAAATTTTGGTGGCTTGCTTTAAGTTCAAATAGAGAAATCAGCATTAAAGTCTGTTTAAATCTTTATTTTATTAGGTTACTCTTCACCCACAAAATAAAAAATACATATTCCTCACATGAAATGATTTAGTATTTCATTGTGTCATAAACTTTTACAGAACCAGTCCTTTTTATAGCTCTAATGTCTTGGTCCTCAAATGGCCCCTGAGGCTCTCCCTGGATAAGTTGGTCCCTTGGAGGGGTAATGTGGTTATAAGGAGAAGCAACTGCCGAACTACTCCCTTGAGTTATGAGGAAAGTAGAGGGCAGAACAACCTTCTGAGGGACAAGAGATGTGTGTTCCAGGTTCTCATGGCAATGTCCACTTAATTTACCTGCTAAGCTGCTAGCCAGTGAGGTATGTGAGTTTTGCCTACGTCTCTAGGCAAATTCTATCATTAGGCAATTCACCTGTCATTACACAAATTCTCCATTAGGAATTCTTGGGAGTCATGCTGAGAAACCAATTCTTCACCCAACTTAAAATTGTGCATATTCTCTTTGGAAAGCTTACCTTTGGATCTCGAAGGAACAGAGCCTTGAGAATCAGTGAGTGTACGTCCCCAATTAGTGGGTAATGCATCAGAAGGCCAAGACAGGTCTGGTAGTTACTAGAGATCACTAAATATTAAGAGGAAAAAAAAAAAGAATTCAGAAGCAATACTGTTTAAGATGTTTGCATTACTTGAGAGTAAAAAAATAACAACTTAGATTCAAAGAAAGCAAACCAATAACTCAATTAATTTGATAAAAGGAAATAGGGAGAAGGGATCTCTACCAAATGGCCTTTGAAGCAGCACACTGTACTGTTAACTGCAATCTAATATCTAGCACTTATCCTCAGGGGGTGTTGGAAGAAGAGCCTCAGATATAGAGATGTGTACGTTTGCAATATAAATAAACTCTTAGAAGCATGCATATTTATTGCCATTTATATGTCTGTGTTTAAATGTCTCTAGTTTTGCTGCTTAGAAATTAGTAACAAAAATCTTATGAATGGGAAAGAACCAGTTTAAAATTCTCATAAAATAATATCTACCCTAATTATTATGCTTCATAAGTTACATGTTACATTTATTCTTTTATATATAAATATTACATAATTCAAA